AAAGCCCCTCTTTTTTTAAAGGCCTAGACATTACTTAAAGCAGATTTCAATATGATTTTGGTTAAAATGTATTTTTTTTTTTTCTATCAGGATAAGTAGATTGTCATGAGGGACAAGTAGATTGGAACACCAATTTAGTCCTTGGACAAGTAGTTTTTTAAAAAATTTCCACACCCCTGTAATGGTTTAGATCAAAGCATATTCCTGTGTTAGAATGGGCCAGTCAAATCCAGACCTAAATCCAGTTGAGAATTTGTGACAAGACTTGATAATTACTGTTCACAGATGTTCTCCATCCAATCTGACAGAGCTTGAGCCATTTTGCAAAGAAGAATGGGCGAAAATGTCCCTCTCTAGATGTGCAAAGCTGGTAGACATCCCCAAAAAGACTTGCAGCTGCAATTCCAGCGAAAGGTGGTTCAACAAAGTATTGATTCAGGAAATACAAATGCACGCCACACTTTTCACACATTTATTTGTTAAAAATTTTGAAAACCATTTATCATTTTCCTTCTACTTCACAAGTACTGTATGTGCCACTTTGTGTTGGCCTATAACATATAATACATTTACGTTTTTGGTTGTAACGTGACAAAATGTGGAAAATTTCAAGGGGTATGAATATATTTTCAAGACACTGTACTTATTTTGGTATTTTCTACCAGAAGTATGTAACAGAATACATTGTGGCCAAAATTTATGAAGAAATTTGATTCTGTTTATTAGACATGTTTTATAGCAGAAAGTAAAAATTATATATATATATATATATATATATATTTAATTTTTGTTTTTTTCATTTATAGCGCAAAAAAATGAAAAAAAAAAAAAAAAACAGTGGTTATTATTAGTACACAGGATTTATATAGCGTCAACAGTTTGTGCAGCGCTTTACAACGTGAGGCTAAACAGTACAGTTACAATACAATTGAATATAGGAGGAATCAGAGAGAATTAGAGCTTACAAGCTAAAAGGGGAGTGTCACAATCATGCCCACAGGGAGAGGTGCGGTTCTCCATTTTGCCCCAAACTTATACATTTTGGTATTGCTCTTAAACTCATATGCCATCACCTGAGTGGGGGGAAGGTGTAGTATCGTGCATACAAGAGTCAGGCACAGGCTCTCGCTGTATTAAGAAGGCTTCATGTATCTCCTCATTCCCCCTCCCTCAGGAATGCAAGCAGCGTATGATGCTGAGCCCTGCCTAACAATTCCTCTGCCAAATAAGGTAGTGAAAATACTAGTTGATGTGTAGAAAAAGAAGCTGTTAGTTTTTGTGTGTAGTCAGAAAAGTGAAAACCGTCTTCGATAAAACATCTATCTGACAAAAAGCAAAGGAGAATCTCGCGGCAACAACCAAACCCAGTGCGAGACCAGAAATCCCTTTTTTAGCTCATCAGACTTGAAATTGCTTAACCCCAGGCATTTATTTGGCAAGTGCTCATTTACCTAAACTTCTTTCTGTTATCTGTTTGCTGTGCTGTTGTGCTCTGTATATTTATATATATATATTGGTTACATCTTCTTTCTGTAAATATTTTTACTGCACCCTTTTGACCTTTTGGTAATAAATCTTACTTTCTGAAAGCGTTGAACTGTTTCTATAGCTCTTGAATGTAACTTACGAGTCCCTGCCGCTGAAGAACGCTACTATGAGTATTTAACCCTCTGTATAACCGGTCTGTAGAGATAGCGGGATACTGGCGGTTAACCAATCATCCTAGTGTATTGCTGAGTTTCCTCTTTCTCTGTATAAAAAGGAGGTGGTGGCAGTGTGAAGGGTTAATTGCGTAATTAACTTGACCCATTAACAATCGAGTTCAGGCTGCAGGTACACAGATTGTAGTCCATTAACTGGAAATTCTTTGTGCAGGGTGCAGCTGGGCGTGGCATTGTTACGCACGTGACAGCACGGTTTTAGATTGGCTAGTTTAGTCATGAGTTTGGTGAGAAGGGCTGGGGTCTGACACCGTGCTCATGACAGGCAGGGTCAAGTGATACAAAAGGTAATAACTGTGGGGGATGAGCTGATGGAGAAAATGCATGTATAGTTGTTAGGTGGAGGCAGGATAGGCTTCTCTGAAGATAAATGTTTTTAGAGATCGCCTAAAGTGGACAGAGTAGGAGACAGTTGGACAGACTGGGGTGGGGAATTCCATAGGATGGGAGAGGCTTGGGAGAAGTCCTCCAGGTGAGCATGGGAGGAGGTGACAAGGGAACTAGAGAGCAGGAGGCCTTGGGAGGAACAAAGAGAACAATTTGGTTGGCATATTGAGACCAGGTTAGTTATGTAGCTGGGGGGCTGATTGTGGATGGCTTTGTAAGTTGTTGTTAGTATTTTGAATTTAATTCATTGGGTGAGTGGCAACCAATGGAGGGATTGGCAGAAAGGGGTGGCAGACACTGAACGGTTGGTAAGGTGGACGACCCTGGCAGCATTATTCATGATGGAGTGGAGGGGGGGGGGGGTAGCCTATTTAAAGGTAAGCCAATGAAAAGGAAGTTGCAGTAGTCGAGGAGAGAGAACCTGGGAGTGAATTAGGAGCTTTGTGGTGTCACTGGGTAGGAAGGGGCATATCTTGGAGATGTTGCAGAGGTTGAGATGGCAAACTTTGGAAAGTGATTGGATGTGGGGCCAAAAGGAGAGTTCAGAGTCCAGGATTACACCTAGCATCCTGGCATGCGGGGATGGGTTGATGGTTGTGCCACTGATCTTGACAAGAGAGGTCAGGGGAAGGGACACGTGGGGAAAGAAATATTCGGAGCTTGATTTTGGATAGATTGAGTTTTTGGAGGTGGTGTGACATCCAGACTGATATCTCTGTCAGTAAGTTAGTGATGCGTACGGAAACTGATGTTGTGAGCTGTGGGGAAGAGATTTGGGTGTCGTCAGCATAGAAATGATATTGAAAGCCATGGGAGCTGACCCAGGGAGGAAGTATAGATTGAGAATAAGAGGTCCAAGAACAGAACCTAGGGGGACCGCAATGAAGAAAGAGGAGAGGAGAAGAGGAAGTAGAATTGTGACACTGAAGGGTGCCGTGGGATAGGTAGGATGAGAACCAATGAACAGCAGTCATGGATACCAAGGGAGTAAAGATTTTTGAGAAGAAGGGGGTGGTCAACAGTATCAAAGGCAGCCGAAAGGTCCAGAAGTAGGAGTACAGAATATTGTCCATTGGTTTTTGCTGTTAATAAATCGTTTGTGAGTTTTAGGAGAGCAGTTTCAGTGGAGTGTTGAGGGTGAAGTCCAGACTGAAGGGTATCGAGAAGGTTATTCTTAAAGAGGTGGTCACCTAGTTGGTTGTAGACCAGGCGTTCAAGGAGTTTGGAAGGAAAGGGGAGCAAGGAGATGGGGCGTAGATTAAGATTGGTGGGGTCCAAGGAAGGCTTTTTAAGTATGAGGGTGACTAATGCATGTTTTAGAGTGTTGGGGAAGGTGCCAGAAGAGAGGGAGAGGTTGAAGATGTGAGTTTAGAGTGTTGGATAGAGCCAGAGGGTGACCGTAGTATTTGAGAAGGAATAGGGTCCAGGGGGCAGGTGGGTGTTAGAAAAAAGTTTAGCAACCTTGTCTGTAGTAGCAGGGTTGAATAAGGGTAGTGTTGGGTGTACCTGTCAGGAATGGACTTGCCAGTAATGGTGGGACTCACCTGCCTTGTGGGCTGCAGTACCAGGGCTGGCCAGCGGGTGTTCCCAGTAATCAGAGACTCAACCCTGCAGCCAGCCAAACACCTGAAACTGCTTATGCAGTTGTATTTAAGTGATGGCCAGACCTGCAGTCTTTGCCTTGGTGTGTGTGTTTTTCCTGGGCCCTGTATCTTGTTCCTGCATTCCTGTTCCTGCCCCTGTTCCTGTCTTGTTGCTGACCCGGTTGATCCTGACCTCTGCTGACTTCTCCTGTTCTGATCCCTGGCTTGTGACCCCGACCATTCTCTGCCTGACCCCCTGTACCTACCTGCCTGTTAGTTGCTGTACCCGGCTCGTGACTGACTACTCTCTGCCTGCTCCTCCTGTTCCTACCTGCCCGTTTGCTATTGACCCGGCCTGCCTGACGACGCTTGCATTGTATGTATAGTTATCTGTGGGTGGTTTGGTTTGTTGCACTGTGTTATGTTTTAGTATTGCACTGCGTTTATGTATTGTTAGTATTAATAAATCGTATTGTTTATAACATATCTGAAGCCTGCGTCAGTTCACATACCTCTGGTCATACCCTGGAGCCCTGACATTACACCAAGGCCATCCTGACCAGAAGTGGCTGCACAGGGAAGCCATCTTGGCTTGTTGCTGGATGGATCTTGATGAGGTTGTGTATTTGTTGCTGCTAGTGTTTGATGACAGAGAATATGCTTATCAGACTCTGAGGGAGTATACCCGGGATCAACTGCTAGAATGTATACGGATCGCTCATGTTCTAGTAGATCAGGGCACAGAGTTCTCTGAGGTGCAACCTTTGATTCAGGTTTGTGTAGAGTTGGCTTCATCTGGTACCCCTGAAAGCAGGAATGGACTTTTTGCCACCATTTAGTGCAGACCAGGTAGAGTCCCTGGTATGGTTATTAGAGGATGATGTGGATTGCTTCTTGGAGCATTATGCTGCATGTTCACCACAGGTATTAAGAGATTGTATAAACGCAGTGCAGTCTTTGACCGGACAGGCTTTGTGTAAGCTCAGCTTTGTTCAACCCATACTGCAGACATGGTCAGATTTGTTGCACCCAGCCTCAGTCAGCTTACAAAAAACCCAGTCCTGCTTCTAATCTATTTCCTCAAAGCTCTATTCCTGCATTCCCAACAGCAGCCCCAGCTCCAGCCCAGTATACTCTGCTATCTACCGCATGTCAGTACCCTGTTCCCACCACTCGCTGCACCTATCCTGCCTTTAACCCTGTAAAGAAGCCCTCTGTAGCAACTGTTCCCTCCCCTGTTCCATCCTCCAGCTCTTCTCTGTCCTCAGCTGCTCCATTCGTTTGCAGATCTGCGTTTACTTGCAGTGCTCCAGTAGTTAAAACCAGAAAAAAGCGAAAATTCTTTCCAACCAATACCATCCTGCCAGTATCCAAACCGGTGAGCCTGCCGTCTGAGAACCTGCCTTCCGTGGTTCAGCCTGGTGCCTCGGCACCCGCACTTCAGCCTGATGTCTGTACCCAGCCTGATGTCTGTACCAGCCTGATGAACTGATCCAGCCTGATGATCCTATCATGCCTGATGACCCGGTGCCCGCTGTCATGCCTGGTGACCCGATGCCCGCTGTCGAGCCAGACGATCCAACGCCTGATGACCCAGTGCCCGCTGTCATGCCTGGTGACCCGATGCCCGCTGTCGAGCCAGACGATCCAGCACCAGATGACCCGGTGCCCGCTGTCCATCCAGACGATCCGGTACCTGATGACCCAGTGCCTGCTGTCATGCCTGGTGACCCGATGCCCGCTGCCGAGCCAGACGATCCAACGCCAGATGACCCGGTGCCGCTGTCGATCCAGACGATCCGGTACCTGATGACCCGATGCCCGCTGTCGAGCCAGACGATCCAATGCCTGATGACCCAGTGCCCGCTGTCATGCCTGGTGACCCGGTGCCCGCTGTCGTGCCAATTGACTCAGAGCCCACTGTTGGGCCTGGTGACTCGGTGCCCACTGCCTTGCCAGATGACGCTGTGCCCGCTGGCGTGCATAATTACCTGATGCCTGGTGACCCGATGCCCACTGTCGAGCCAGACGATCCAATGTCTGACCCAGTGCCCGCAGTCACGCCTGGTGACTCGGAGCCCACTGTCGTGCCTGGTGACTCGGTGCCCACTGCCTTGCCAGATGACCTGATGCCTGGTGACCTAGTGCCCGCTGTCATACCTGATGACCCGATGCCCGCTGTCGAGCCAGACAATCCAATGCCTGATGACCCCAGTGCCCGCGGTCATGCCTGGTGATCCGATGCCCCTGTCGAGCCACGATCCAGCGCCACATGACCGGTGCCTGCTGTCGAGCCAGACGATCCGGTACCTGATGACCCGGTGCCCGCTGTCGTACCAATTGACTCAGAGCCCACTGTCGTGCCTGGTGACTCGGTGACCACTGCCTTGCCAGACGCGGTGCCCGCTGTTGAGCCAAATGACCTGATGCCTGGTGACCCGATGCCCGCTGTCCAGCCAGACGATCCAATGTCTGACCCAGTGCCCGCGGTCATGCCAGTTGACTCGGAGCCCACTGTCGTGCCTGGTGACTCGGTGCCCACTGGCGAGCCAAATGACCTGATGCCTGGTGACTCGATGCCCGCTGTCGTGCCTGATGGCCCGGTGCCTGCCGCCCCGCCTGGGGGCCCGTGCCTGTCGCCCCCGCCTGGGGGCCCGGTGCCTGTCGCCCCGCCCGGGGGTCCGGCGCCCGCCGCTCCGCCTGGGGGTCCGGTGCCCGCCGCTCCGCATGGGGGTCCCGCCCGGCCCCCGCCTGGGGGCCCAATGCCTGTCGCCCGCCCGCCTGGGTGCCCGATTGCCTGTCGCCCCTCATGGGGGGGCGCCCGCCGCTCCGCCTGGGGGCCCGAGACGCTGGGGGGCTCCGCCTGGGGGCCCAGTGCCTGCCGCTCTGCCTGAGGGCCCGGCGCCCGCCGCTCCGCCTGGGGGCCCTGGGGGCCAATGCCTGTCGCCCCTCCTGGGGGCCCGATGCCTGTTGCCCCTCCTGGGGGCACGGCGCCCGCCAGCTCCGCCTGGGGGCCCGGCGCCCGTAGCCCCGCCTGGGGGCCCAGTGCCTGCCGCTCTGCCTGAGGCGCCCCCGGCCGCCCCCGCCGCTCCTCCTGGGGGCCCGATGCCTGTCGCCCCTTGGGGGGCCCGATGCTCCGCCTGGGGGTCGCGCCCGCCCGCCTGGGGGCCTGGCGCGCGCCTGCCTGAGGGCCCCGGCGCCCGGCTCTTGGGGGCCCGGGGCCCGCCGCTTGCCCGATGGCCCTGGGCCCGCCCGGTGGCCCTGGGCGCCCGCCGCCCCGCCCGGTGGCCCGGGTGCCTGCCGCTCCGCCCCGATGGCCCGGGCTGCCGTCTCCGCCTGGTGGCCCTGGTGCCTGCTGCTTCGCCTGGTGATCCGATGTGCCTCTCTGCCCGGACTGTCCAGCCCGATGTCCTCTGCCCGGGAGCTTCCAGCCCGATGTGCCGCATCTGCCCGGAGTCCAGCCCGATGTGCCGCTGCCCGGAGTCCTGCCCGATGTGCCGCTGCCCGGAGTCCTGCCCGATTGTGCCGCTGCCCGGAGTCCAGCCCCGATGTGCCGCTGCCCGGAGTCCTGCCCGATGTGCCGCTGCCCGGAGTCCTGCCCGATGTGCCGCTGCCCGGAGTCCTGCCCGATGTGCCGCTGCCCGATGTGCCGCTGCCCGGAGTCCTGCCCGGTGTGCCTCTGCCCGGAGTCCTGCCCGGTGTGCCTCTGCCCGGAGTCCTGCCCGATGTGCCTCTGCCCGGGAGCCTCCTGCCCGATGTGCCTCTGCCCGGTGTGCCTCTGCCCGGAGTCCTGCCCGGTGTGCCTCTGCCCGGAGTCCTGCCCGGTGTGCCTCTGCCCGGAGTCCTGCCGATGTGCCTCTGCCCGGAGTCCTGCCCAATGTGCCTCTGCCCGGTGTGCCGCTGCCCGGAGTCCTGCCCGATGTGCCTCTGCCCGGTGTGCCGCTGCCCGGAGTCCTGCCCGGTGTACCGCTGCCCGGAGTCCTGCCCGGTGTGCCTCTGCCCGGTGTGCCTCTGCCCGGAGTCCTGCCCGGTGTGCCTCTGCTCGGAGTCCTGCCCGGTGTGCCAGTCTTTGATATCCCGCCAGTTACCAGACCCGGGCGGTGGAACATTTTGCCGAGCTTGGACTGTTTGGAGCGTCCTGAGGCCGCTCCTTGAGGGGGGGGGGGGGGTACTGTCAGGAATGGACTTGCCAGTAATGGTGGAACTCACCTGCCTTGTGGGCTGCAGTACCAGGGCTGGCCAGCGGGTGTTCCCAGTAATCAGAGACTCAACCCTGCAGCCAGCCAAACACCTGAAACTGCTTATGCAGTTGTATTTAAGTGATGGCCAGACCTGCAGTCTTTGCCTTGGTGTGTGTGTTTTTCCTGGGCCCTGTATCTTGTTCCTGCATTCCTGTTCCTGTCTTGTTCCTGACCCTGTTTGATCCTGACCTCTGCTGACTTCTCCTGTTCTGATCCCTGGCTTGTGACCCCGACCATTCTCTGCCTGACCCCCTGTACCTACCTGCCTGTTAGTTGCTGTACCCGGCTGTGACCTGACTACTCTCTGCCTGCTCCTCCTGTTCCTACCTGCCCGTTTGCTATTGACCGGCCTGCCTGACGACGCTTGCATTGTATGTATAGTTATCTGTGGGTGGTTTGGTTTGTTGCACTGTGTTATGTTTTAGTATTGCACTGCGTTTATGTATTGTTAGTGTTAATAAATCGTATTGTTTATAACTTATCTGAAGCCTGCGTTTCCCTGCGTCAGTTCACATACCTGGTCATACCCTGGAGCCCTGACAGTACCTGTGGACATGGGGAGTTATCTGTAGAGTGGAGATTTCATCACGAATTGTACCAATCTTATTTTTGAAGTGATTGGCGATCTCCTGGGCAGTGAGTTAGTGGGTGGAGTCAGTGAGGGACAAAGTAGAGAGTTAAAGGTACGGATTAGTTGACGGGGACTGGATGAGAAGGAGTTAATGAGAGGGATAAAATAGGTCTGTTTGGCAGTGTGAAGGCAAGAGTTGTATTTTTGGAGGGCAGTTTTTATTGGTTGAAGTCTTTGTGACACTTGGTCTTACGCCACAGATGGTCGAGAGGGCGGCTGAGTTTTTTTTGAGACTTCTGGTATTGTCTGTTTGGCAGGGTTTGTGGGAGTCGGGGCCTGATTCTGTGGTTAGTGAGAGGGGGGGGGAGCTTGTCCACGGCAGAAGACAGGGATCTATTGTAGACAGAAGTGGCTAGATTGGGGCAGGACAGGAAAAGGAAATAGAGAGGAAACAAGATCATATTTACTTGTTTTAAACTTTTTGTTCAGTTACATCCTGGTTTCCATGCCTAGGCAAATGATGTCATACATCCCAGGAGTCTTCAGAAGGGGAGGAGAGGAGGAGGGGTTTTCTCAGCCAAGCACACCCTCCTGCCTGCATGCCTCATCTAAGGGCAGTAGGATTCCAGGAAGTAAATGCTACATGAATAATTTGCCCTTATTCAAGATGGCCACTGACAAAACCGCTAGAGGGGTGTTTTTAAAAGTGGTTTCTCAGCAAAATAAAGCATGGAGACGTGGATGGATGGGGGGAGTTTGCTTTGGATATTAAAAATGAAATAAATTGTGTTTTGGTGCTTAGATGCAGTGTAGGTACGCTTTAAGGACATGGAAGAAACGTGTTTCATTTTTTCACATGCAGATTGAATGGTGTATGGGATTGAATATTATTGTAGGATGATTTGCAGATTTATTTGAGATACACATTTTATGGATATTGGCATTGTTATATAATTACATTATTGTGATTTATATTGTTCTGTTATTTTATATCATATTGCATTCTTTGAGATATATATATATATAATATACTGTATGGGGGGTGTCTGATATATTTATTTATTTATATATGTCGTTTTTTAGAGCAATTAAATATTTTTTTTTTGATAAATGAAGTTCTACTAATATACAACCAGCATAAGTGAAAGAAAATCCCACATTTTGGGGATATTATTAAGACAGGAAAAGAGGGGAAACCTTCCCAAAGTTGAGGGATTTCCTCTCACTTCCTGTTGTGGCTATGGGTCTGGAAGTGAAGGAAAATCTTCCCAATGGAATGGGGACACTAGTTGAGGGATTTCCTCTCACTTCCTGATGTGGCTATGGGACAGGAAGTGAAGGAAACTCTCCCCAATGGGGACACTAGTTTAGAGATTTCCTCTCACTTCCTGTTGTGGCTATGGGACAGGAAGTGAAGGAAAATCTTCCCAATCGGGTATACTAGTTTAGAGATTTCCTCTCACTTCCTGCTGTGGCTATGGGACAGGAAGTGAAGGAAAATCTTCCCAATCGGGATACTAGTTCAGAGATTTCCTCTCACTTCCTGTTGTGGCTATGGGTCTGGAAGTGAAGGAAAATCTTCCCAATGGAATGGGGACACTAGTTGAGTGATTTCCTCTCACTTCCTGATGTGGCTATGGCTCCCAATGGGACTAGTTGAGGAATGTGGCTGAAGGAAAAGGAAAATTTTCCCAATCGGGATACTAGTTGAGGGATTTCCTCTCCCTTCCTGATGGGATAGGAAGTGAAGGAAAATTTTCCCAATAGGAATACTAGTTCAGAGATTTCCTCTCACTTCCTGTAGTGGCTATTGGACAGGAAGTGAAGGAAAATCTTCCCAATGGGGACACAGGAGGCACAAAAAACCTTGACAGAGATTATACCACTCTCCTATGTAGAAAATATAAACTAAATGTTTTGCCTTTAGTTCTACTTTCCTTCATGAACAATTATCCCATATACAGGGCCAGGACAAGGTGTGTAATATCACTGGTGTCACCCCCAATATACCGTCCTGTAGTACAGAGGAGCGAGGTGTGAGGCATACATGAAC